ACTAAAGTATCATAGTTATAATTTAACAAAAATAGATTTATTGTTGAAATTATCAAAATATAAATTTAAATGGATTCTAATTTAATAGATGTCAGCTAAGCTTTGTGCCGCTTGATTTGCGCTTACCTCGGAGAATTTTACAAAGAACTCTGCTTATTTCCCTAAATTCCTAAGTTAATATAGTTGATGCAGCTATTCAAAAAATTTTTTTGTAATTTTTTAAAAATATTTTTTCGCATATTTCCAATTTTTTAAATATAAACCAGTGTTTTTTGACATGTTTTATACGAAAAAATACAAATTTTCTCTTTTTTCTATTTTTAATATCCATTCTAAGGTGTAAAATTTAAAAGGAAATAAGGATTTAAAAAAAATTTTTTGATAAAAGGAAATTAAAAAAACCGGAGAATACCCCAAAACCGGAGAGTAAAAAACCGAAATAAAACCCCAAACCGTAGAGTACCGCTTTAACAAAAAAATAAAATAACCCCAATTTTAAAATAAAATTCCCAATCACAAATCCTCTATCATTTTTTTCTTCAAAAATATCGTAGACAATCTAGTATCTGTAACTTAAAATTTTTTATATTTTTTTAACTCGAAAAAATATATAATTCAAGAGAGTACATATTTTGGGAACTTATTTTACAAAAGAACCTAGAGTTGATTGATTTATTAGAGTAAAGCTTCTACTTGACCCTAGGTTTTTACTCGTTTGTGAGGCATTTGCCCCCTTCTTGGATGATTTTGCCCTCTTTTTGAGAAGCCAAGATCCCTTTTGGTGATTTGGAAAGGGACACTCTTATTCTCGACGAACTAACTGACTAAACAACAGACTAATGGGTTTTTCAATATTCTCCCATAGCTTATATCCAGAATATCTAAATACCTGTCTTTTAATCTAAGAAAACACCAAATAATTTAGCTTTTTTCCCTTTTCGTTCTCCTTGAGGATCTGAAGAGCTACCCTCGCCTTGAATTTGTTGAGGATCCGAAGAGCCTTCACCTTGAATTTGTTGATGGACATTTCCTTTTTAAATAAATAATACTTTAGTTACTCATTTAGATTAACAGACTTGGTAATGAACATGGATTTTAGTATCCGTATTCGGATTTTAAGGCGGATATCTGCAGGCATTTTGAAATTATCTATATCCGTATCCATTAAAAGTCTGTAGATTAAATCTAATTTCACAACAGTCAATTATTAGGATTAGAATTGGGTCTGATCCAGATTAAGAAATAAAAAGGGGGGTTATTAAAAATTGAAAAAAAATACTCCAAAAATTCGTCCTTCTTTATTTTCGTTAAGAACTTAAGGTGGATAAAGAGGGATTAATGGGAATATACATACTAATATACATACTAATAATGGGAATATACATACTTAATGGGAATATACATACTAAATGGAATAAAAATAGAATATTGTGTTAATCTTATGGACATTATAGTTAAACTGTCGAAAATAACTGTAAACTTTCGATTTTCCTGCAATCGAAAATAAACTGAAAACTGACTAATATTCTGGCGTGTCTTTTACTTTGCTTATTCCTTGAATTATGTATTATGTTTTTTCTTAGTCCCATTCCCACCTTTCATTTATTAACAAAACTTTATTTTTTATTAAATTTAGCTATTTTAAAAAAATTAGAGCTAAAAAATGGATTATGAAAGAGAATTTCGATAGCGACTTAGCTAATGAATCCTCTTGCTTACTAATGAATCCTCTTGCTTATTGACGACGTTAACGTGTCATGTTGCCCTCCCTTTATTGAGTATTGATTTACAATAATTTAAAAAATTTTTTAATAAAAATTAAATATAAATGTTTAAAGAAACAATAAAAAGTGTTTTGCTTTGTTTGTTGCGAGATACGGGTATCAGAATTGAGCTAGGCGAGCTGAGTCGAAAGACACAAAAATTAACGAAATCTGAATTGATTCGCCAAAGTTATGACCGTTTGTTTCAGTTAATTTGGTTAATTTGGTATTAACAAATTAAAAAAATACTACAAAAATTCGCCCTTGTTTATTTTCGTTAGGAACTTAAAATGGATAAAGATATAAATGACACAAAAAAGACACAAAAATCAACAACCACTCTATTGTTCAGGAGATGTCTGTAGTATATTAAACTAAAGTCAAATAAAATAACCCAGATTTTAAAATAAAATTCTCAATCACAAATCCTCTATCACTTTTTTCTTCAAAAATATCGTAGACAATCTAGTAGTTTTTCTGTAACTTAAAAATTTTTATAAATATTTTTTAAACTAGAGTAATTTCAAATCAATAGAGCTATCTTGGGGAACTTAATTTACAAAAAAGCCCAGAGTTCAATACACATATGTAGGTGAAGTAAAGCAGGACCGATGGAATTGTTGTTGTTTATAGTCGGACCGTACCGCACTGTAGGTATTCTATATCGGTAGTATGGTACGGAATACGCAGCCTAGTCTCTAATATAAGCCCAGTAAAATGACCCATTGAAAAATATAAGCCCAGGGCTTATATTGAAGCATTTACGGTATTTAAAATCACCATGTGTATAATGACACCATTCAATGCGCAATTTCTATTTTAAACAAATTATTTAGAAGCACATTGTATTACTTTATTATTGCATAAAATTATCACATAATGATTTAAATAAAATTCATACTTGGGAAGGGATTTGAGAATCCAGAGAAAGGGCTTGAGTTAAATACTAAAGATTTTAAGGTTAAGGGCTACAACTGTGCTAAGAGAAATATTCCAGTGATCAGTTCAGGACAAGTTATCAAAATCTCGATCCTCATGTCCTTTCTCTAGTTAAATTTTGTCCTCTACATTTTAAAATTTTTAAAATATACCGTATTGTCTCTAATAGAAGCCCATCTCCAATAGAAGCCCATGCCCTAATAGAAGCCCGCCCAATGAGGTGTATTGAAAAATAGAAGCCCAGGGCTTGTAATAGAGACAATACGGTATATTAGATAATATATTTGCTGGGTAAATTAACGTTAATATATATAAATAGTTAATAAATTATTTAATTTTATTTAATGATTGTATGGGGGTAGAAATCTATAAACTAAGCGTTGTTTCTTCTCTGGTTTTTGAATAATTCCTTTTTTGTAATATTGTCTCAATGAGCGGCTCAATTTATCATAATTCATTGCTGCTCGATTTTTACGAATGCCCCAATACCGGGCAAGGTGATGGGAAGACTCGATCTTGAATGTTCCTTAAAATTATATTTTTTGGCATTTTAAAATTGTTAAATATTCTAAATTTTGTAAAGAAAATAAAAAACATTTAGTTTATTTGATATTGATAGTTAAATCATATCCGAATCCTCTTATGGAAGGGGATTTCCACTTTCATTTTAAATAATAAAAATTGTCATTTCCCTCACCCTCCTCTCTATTAACCCAACGAACACATCCTTCAAACTCTTTCGGCCTATCAAGCAATTCTCTTATAAAATGCCACAAATGTATTGTCCCACTACTTGGATTATTATTTTGGGCAGCTATAATTCTTTGATGATGTCGGGGATTTTGTTGTTGTTGGGAATATTGCCGTTGTTGTTGATTGTTTTTATTGGTGTAATGAAAGTTTGGATTTTGTAAAAGAGAGCAATTCTATAAAAAATTTTTTTTTATTTTTTTGTGTATTTCGGGAAGGATTCTTTCCTTTATTGGTAAAAATTTATTTTGCCATTTTTACTAAAATTATAGCAAAGTTGGAGGGCTAGGGGAAGGAAGCATAGCTATTTAATACCTATGTCTACTGGAAACTAAATTCTATTAAATTTAAAATATTCACATCTCCGGAAACTAAAAATTAAATAATTCACCTCAGTTTGATTACTAAACAAAGCAGCTGCGGCGTTTACAGCCTTTTCGTTTTCAGATATAAAATATGTTGAAGGTGTTGTTGTTAATGTTGTATTGGTATTTATGTAATTAAGGTGTTGATCCTCATCTCCCACTGTAATTTTTTATTACAAAAATTTAAAAAAAAATTCGCAATTTTAAGGGATTTTTTAGAAATATTATTTTAATTTAAAAAAACAATTCCAAAAAAATATTTAATTCAAAATTTAAATATAATAAAATTAATTATGCCCGAGCAAGAGTCGTCCTGTCGAAGTGTTGTATTGGGGGATTCGGACATGACAGATTCTGAAGGAGAACATTCATCACTAGTAATATGGTGAATGTGAAGACCAGAAGATGATAGAAAGGAATTTCCAGGTCTTTGAAGGTTCTGTTCTGGGACTAATGTTCCGTTAAATTGTTGTAGATGATAAGAAGGTGGAACTAAAATAATTTTAATTGTTTTATAAATTGTGGATTTATTATTTTTTCGATTTGTTGATATAAATCGCATATTTAAAAATTCCTAATGAACTTGAGGTTAAATTTACAATTTAATTATTCTTTCATTAAAAATTTAGGACAAGATTTGTGTAAGGGTATACTAGATTTCGAGCATTATCCGAAAGTCTAGGAATTTATAACGTTTTAAAATTTAATATCAAACGGGCCTTGTGCAAGCGTTCTTTGGTTACTATAATATTGCTGCTGATGTACACCTTGATAAGTATGTATTGCTTGATAATGTTGTTGTTGGGGATAAGTGCGGATACTAGGTATCTGTCTTCTCGAAGAATTCGATTGGTTAAATTGTTGTGAGGCAGAAGTTGAGGAGGAGCAAATACTGCTAGAGGAGGGGGATGTTGATGAACCAACGGTGATGTTGTTGTATCCGGGATGAACTGCTGCGGTTGAAGAGTTAAGATGATCGTCATTCTTGGAATGGGAGAGCAAAAGAGAAAACATTTTTAAACAATTTAAATAATTAAATTAATATATAGTCGGGCCTAATTTTTGATACTCCCTGAGGCAAAAAATTAAATTTTAAATCGAGTCTAAGCTACTAATAAAAATTGAAGTGTATCTTGTATTTTGCTCCTCTATAAGTAAGGTCCAAGAGATTAACTTTATCAATTTATAAATATCTTACAGTCCAATCTCTGTTGTGGCTATTTATTTCAATATATGGTTGTTGTTGCCCACAAGATTCGAAAGCTTTATATAATAATAAGGTTATATAAAAATTTTTAAAAATTCAGAAAAACTTAAGTTTTTAAACTACAATATGAGAAAGGCAAATAAATTTAGTTATGTAGAATTTTTAAAAAATATAATCACCAGTTTTCCAAAGTTGCAGTTGTGCATGTAAAGTGTCTCCACCATCTGGAAATCGCTGCTGAAATTCTTCAACTCCAAGTGTCAACATTCTTTGACCGTTTAGGTTAACGAATGACTCGGGTGGAGGTATTTGTATTTGAAATTGAGTGCACATTTCGGCTACCCAACGGCGAGAATCTTTAAAAATATTTGAGAGATTTTGTAGCAAATATTTTATAATATGATTAGTCAAATTCCAATATAATAGAACTTTTTTTTAAACCAGTTAAGTTAAGAAGGGAAAAACTTTTACTTATCATTCGACATTTTCAGGACTATATCGACGAATCTGCGCATTCGAAACATGTGTTGGGCTCGAGACAATACCAAATTATTATATATTTAATGATTATTTGACATACATACTCTCTCATATAGGGAGATATTTTAAGTGGTTAAACTATTATAAGGTATTTAAGGAAGTTCCTCTAAACTAAATTGGGATTTCATAAACTCCAATGATCTAACCATCCGCGCTCCACAAAGCCAATTCTGTAGGTAAACCAAGTTTGGCACAAGTACTAGTAATATCAGCAATTAAATGCCTTAAAATCAGTTCACGATAAATTTCTGTCTGATCTGTTGGTTGTTGTTGTCCTTGTAAATATACATTATTATTGTCTTCACAATATTCTTGTTGAGGTTGATAAGTTCTGTTTTGTTCAATTTTACATATTCGTTGCAGGTTTTGTTGACTGTCATTTATCTTTACAAAAATTTATATCATTATTGGGGAAAAAATTTAACTTAAAATTTAAATTTCATAGTAATTTACAAAGGCTCAATTTATTTTTATTTAAGACAGTATTGTAAATGATTCAAAATAGGGTAGAAACCCGACCCCGAAAACCCCAACGAATTTTTTTAGCAAAAACCCCGACCCGAACTCCGAAGTCTCTACTCCGACAAACCCCGATCGCCGACAATCCGCCCCCGAAGGGTGGGTTTGCTACCCTAGTTTAAAACAAAAAATTTCTGAAATCCTTGGTGATATCTGCATAATAGGAGTTGTCTGAAACTACCCAAAAAACTAAGTAAAAGTGTCTTGTTCTTGTGTTGATATCCTGATTTGAATAACTTTACAATAATTTTCGGATTTCCGTTTACTAGCATAATTTTTCCTTATTATATTGCAATTTTATTAGAACCTTCAATGCTTTCTTTATAAAAATTTCTACCTTCTCCTCATCCTCTTCATTTTTCTCTTCCTCCTCTTCCAATAATTCTGTATCACTCTGGGATTGTGTAAATGAAGATTGTTCACTCTTTATTATACTTATCTCAAAATTACTTAAATCTTTGCTTATTTCCTCATCTTCATTTTCTTCTTCCTCTTCCTCTTCTTCATCCTCCCCTTCGCCCTTTCCATATTCGTTTTTATTTTCTTTGTGTCCCCTTTGGCACTTTAGCTTCATTCAATTAATAAGATATTTAGCTAATTGAAAAAAAATTAAGAGATAAAAATAGGAATTAATAAACGAGTTTTTGATGAGTAATATTCAAAAAATTTGTATTTTAAATCAATTTTTTTATTTGTGCAAATTAAGAAAATTTTGAGTTTAATTTTATAAGTTTATCAGTTTATGGATGGAGTAGACAAATAGTTTGATTAAAATAAATATTTGAAGACTATGAAGAGGGCAAACCTTTATTTATAGAAATTTAATTTTAATATTTTTTTGCAACTATGAGGCACACCCAAATTTATAAAATTAACCAAAAATAAAAAAATGATTTTAAAATTATTATTTTTATTTTTTAAAAGATAAAATTAAAAAAATTTTTATATAAAGAAAATAATTGAAAATATTTTTTTGATAATTACTTTCAAATTTTAGCTTAATGGAAACTAAAAAATCTTTATTTTTTGATTATGAGAATAAAACAAATTTTGTTAAATTCTGTAAGATAATTATTAATAAATTAAAATAATTGTTTTTTAAATATAAATTAAAAATTTGTAAGGCCATAGTTCCTACTGGCCTATCAAATAAAGCAAAATAAAACTATCGTCGGGAGTGGGATGGTTACGAGGTTAATAACCTTTGTCCTTACATCGAAATCTCTCAAAATCAAGTCTCATCACTAGGGCTGGGAAAAATATGCACGCAAAATCGCAAAATATGCGCATATATATGCACCGAAAACGCCCAAAATATGCACCATAATATGCAAAATTTGCCAAAATATGCACTAAATATGCAGCAAAAAATGGCGAAAATTTACATTAAAAATCAATTTTTTATCTAGAAAACACTATTTTGGCCTTTATAATTTAAATTTAAGATCATTTCTATAAGATTTTATGGACTTTAAATTTTCGCAGAAAAAAATTTTTGAAAAAAATTTTTTCTCAAAAAATTTCTAGAAAAATTTTTTTCAAAAAATTTTTATTAAAATTTTTTTGACAAAAAGTTCAGAAAATTTTTCAAATTTTGACCAATTTTTATAAAATTTAGCAAAAAATGCCAAAATATGCTCAAATTTTGGTAAAAATATGCAAAATTGTCCAAAATATGCACAGATATGCAAATATGCACGAGAGGGCCGAAATATGCAAAAATATGCATTAAGAACCGGGTCCCAAAGTGCTCGGACCAATGTAAAAATACCATTTTTGAGCTTCTCTCATCAAGGCATATCCGCATACAAAACATGCATTTGCATGTTTTTCCCAGCCCTACTCATCACATCTTTTGACTTGAAATTATTATTTGATAAATTTTCTGGGATAGGGATGGCTATTTTACTTATTTTAATAGATTACGTCTGATAGTCTATTAAATATTGCAAAAAATTTGTGAAAATTGGAAATTCCTTTAAAATTTATCAAATAATAATTTTGGTATATCTGTCAATTACAGACTTGTTATCTTAATTTAGATCCAAGAGAGTATTCGTACAATTACTTTTTTTGAAAATTTGTGCACATTACATAAATAAAAGAATTTAGATATTTAAAAATTTGAAAAATATAAAAAAAATTTGAATATTATCCTGAGATAAAATTAAAAATAAAAACCTAGAATTTATTAAATATAGGGGTAATCCTTAAGATCATTGGTCCCTAAAAAAATTGGGAAAAAAGTGCTGTTTTGATAATTTTGAAGTCTGCCAGTAGGTAGTCGAGTGTGCTGAGTCCGAATCTGAGCTTAGAATTGGTTTATTTCGAACCCCGGACCCAAATTCGACAAAGTCGAATTCGGGGTAAAAATTCAAAATTTCAAATTTTTTGTTTAATCGGACTCGTCTCTTCGAACTGAGTCGAATGGCATCATAATTATTACGTTTCGACAACTTTAGACGAAGTTATGGTGTCTGATTTGTATACGGAAGTCTCAGCAAGCGTATATTTAATTGATCATAACTTCGTCCAAAGTTGTCAAAACATCATAATTTTGATATCATTCGACTCAGCTCGAATAGTCGTGTCAGAATAGCCCTAAAATTTTAATTTTGAAGTGTTTCCCCCGAATTCGACTTGGTCGAATTCGGGTCCGGGGTTCGAAATAAACCAATTCTAAGCTCAGATTCGGACTCAGCACACTCGATTACCTACCGGCAGACCTCAAAATTATCAAAACAGCACTTTTTTCCCAATTTTTTTAGGGACCAATGAACTTAAGGATTACCAATATAGGTGTTATTTACAGACATAAACCAAATAAAAATTAATAATTTAATTTTATTTGAAAACTTTTTAAACAAAAATCGTGTTTTACAACAGCGCAAGCAACAAAAATAGAAAATTGGAAAGACCAGCTGCCATGTCATTCCAAAAAAAAATGAAAAAAAGGGAAAGAAATAAAATAAAACGCAAGCCCTCTATACTGGTCAAATGGCGATTGTTCCCTTTCAATTTTTTCATTCTTTTTTGGGCACGCAAATTGGATCTGCTCGGAGAAAATGAGGGATTTTTAGAAAAGAACGATTGGATTAGAAAAAAAGATTTGAAGGGGTAAAAGGGATATTCAACGTGTTTTCTGTGTGAACGAACATTCGCGCAGCGCAAGAGGCTGGAATTGGGAGAATAATAAAAAAATATTTGAAGAAAGTGGATGAACAAGAGGGCGCTGGAGGTGAGAGAGGGCAAGATGGTACACATATTCGCAGCATTTCTTTTCCTTTGATTTTCGATTGTACAGAGTGAAAAGAAATGTTTATGACACATTATCTATAACATAACTTCATTCAAATTAAAGATAATGAGATCAGATGTAGCTTAGCGATAGAGAACCAAATATGTAACAAAAATAATCAAGAATGCTTACAGTATCCCTTTGTTCGGATACAAAGTAGAAGGCTCGGTTAAAAAGCCCCACATCACTTGATTTGCGAACTGCCTCAGAGGGTACTTGCATTCCTGGGTCATAACTCTTTAAATTTTTTGAAATTTATGATTTTTTGAGCTTGTAGGTCTTGAGTCCTAAAACAATTTTGTTTCAAAACAACGTTACACACTTTTATATTACAGCTATACATCTTTTTACATTTGAGTATTTAAAAGTATGGTTTTTCGATTTTCGGGGGCATATACTGCGAGTTTTCGTCTCCCGAAGAAAATTCTTGCATATTTGAACTCAGCTCGGCGAGATGAATCGAATGGTATATACATCGACTTGCGATCTCGGTGGGCCTATACTAAAGTACAGCCCCAATGTCTATTACAATTCATTGTTTTCTGGACTTTTATCTGTCTAACCTTTTGCCAGTTTTCCATATCGTTTATTTCATTTCGTCTTTGCGATTAAATGGCTGTCTCTCCGTGAATGTGCTCCTTTTAATACTTTCACTTTTCTCCCCTTTATTTTCTTTCTTTTTGACCGACGTTGACCGATGATGTTGTTGATGATGTGATGACTGGTTAGTTGGTGGATATTGCTTTGTTGGAAGGCTATAAGCTTGCGATTTCATCTTGTGTGTCTTATTGAGCATTTTTTCTTGCAATTTTGCCTCTGGCGATGTGACAGCATGGAATAAACTCTTGCGCCCACACATCCAGATATTTTGGTTGTATTAATACTAGTACATAATATATAATTTTTGTGTGAATGTAATTTGATTTTTGCGACAACCAAATAACAACCCGTCCATTTTTTGGAATTGTCGAATAATGAATGATGGCTAATAAAATTTATAACGTAAATAAAATTTTTATTTCTCAACAAAAATTAAATTTTTAAAAATTAAATATCTAAGCGTATGTTGTTTAAAAATATTCGTTTGCTTGAAAATAATTTTTAATATTTAGAAATTCGAA